ACTCTGAAGTCCAGCTCTGAATCACCCAGACAGAGACCCATGTCAGTCAATGCCCCATGACAGAAGGCTCCTTCCCACCTGCACTGTCTCCTAGGCAACCACCTGGTGAAGGGTTCTCTGTGGCACCTAGGACAGGAAGAGAGGAATTCCTTCTTCAGTGGACTGAGATGGAGTAAGGACCATTCAGGCATTCCCCCTCCACCCCCAGAGACCACAGAAATGCAAGAGGGACAGGGCTTGTGTCCTCGAGGTCCCCTACACAGCCAGGCCCCCAGGACAAAGTACCCAGCACACCAGCCTGGCCCTCCTGCTCTGCACACCCTCAGTGACCTGGTGTTCCGACCCAGCACTCACAGGTGACGTTGAGCTGGATGGTTGTTTCCACGGTCACACCAGCGGCAGGAAAATACACCTGACAGGTGAGGTTGGTGCCATGGTCCTGGGGCCGTGGTGTGAGGGTGAGCACAGAGGAGAGGTGGGTCCTGGGGCCCAGGGAGCTTTGGGCAGTTGACGTCCAGGAGAAGATGGGGGGCGTGCCCCGCTCACAGGCCCAGGGCACAGAGCAGGTCAAGTTCCTGGGGAGGCCGCTCTCCAGGGGCCCCGGGTTGAGGATGTGGGGTGTGTGGTTGAGGGCTGATGAGGAGGGGGAGACAGGAGATCAGGAGGGAGGATCCCAGGTGCAGCCCTCAGAGAAGCCTCGGGCGTTGGTCCAGCTCCTCCCTCTGAGCCCAACACACTGTAACCCGACCCCCTCCCAGGATGGGGTCCCATCCCAGCCCTGCCAGGGGCCACCGTGAACTTCTCTCAAGGCCTCTCCTGGAGCCCATTCCTTACCCATCACTCGCACGGAGAGCATGTTCTGTGTGTAAGAATATTTAAACGCTTGGGAACGTTCCCTCTCCACTCGAAAAAAATATAATCCGTCATCTGTCCTCCTGGCGTCTCTGATGTCCAGGGAGCAGTTGTTGGCCTGGGGATCCCCGAGGAGGTGGAATCGGCCCTGGGTCTCCACCTGCACTTTACGAGTCTGGTTGCTTGTGACCACAGCAGCATTGTGGAATGCATTAGCCCCTTCTGGGAACCAGGAGCCATATGTAGGGATAGATGTGGTGAGACCACGGAAGATGAGGAGGAGCATGAGATCTTGGCCTTTCACGAAAGAGGAACCTCAGAGCTCAAGCCCTTCCCCTCTCTGCAGAGAGCACGCAGACACCCCACAGCCCAGGACAGACAGAAAACTAGCCCTGCGTCCTGTCCAATCTCGGGTCTTCCCTGCAGCTCCAGAGCAGAACCAGGACCTCTGAGGACACCTGAGGAGGGCACACGGGAGTCTCCTAAGGTCCTCCCATTGGGGGCTTTTCTGAGCTCTGGTGTCTACATCAGAGAGCTGGTTCACTGCTGCATTGACTGGAGGTCCCAGCCTCATCTAGAAGCTGTGGTCAGTCCTACAAGGTGTAGGATTTTGTAATGTTCATGTGAGTGGGGCAGAAGTAAAGAAGTGGGTCCCGCCGAAACCAGTTTGGCCCAGTGGATGGAGCGTCAGCTTGTGGACTGAAGGGTCCCAGGTTCGATCCCGGTCAAGGGCATGTGCCTGGGTTGCGGGCACATCCCCAGTAGGGGATGTGCAGGAGGCAGCTGATCAATGTTTCTCTCTCGTCGATGTTTCTAACTCTCTATCTCTCTCCCTTCCTCTCTGTAAAAAATCAATAAAATATATTTAAAAAAATGGTAAGGCACCTCAAATTCTAAGTTGGACTATAAGGGCTCTGATTTCTACATAAAATAAAAATATGTAAGGTTGATCAAAAATATGCTTCTCACAGTAATATGTGGTTCCAAGGACATAATATTTCTAGGAAACATGAATGGAATATGCAGCTACAATTAAAAATTCGGTTCAGCTCATGTAGTTTTCCATCTGAGTGTGGATATACATCTGGCAAACTCTTGGTCCTGGTGACATAAAAGCATTTGCCACCAGATATTTGTAAAATCTTTCTAACACAGTAGTATCTAGATAGATGGGCCTTCAGTCTTACTAATACAGAGAGACTTCTGTGCCCTCATTTGGTGGATAAGAAATTGAGTTTTGTCCTGGCCAGGGTAGCTTGGTTGTTTAGAGGTCTTCCCGATACAGCAAAGTTGTGGGTTAGATCCCAGGTTGGGACATGAGCCCTGACTCTGTCCTTTCCCATCTCAGGAGCTTCTGTTCAGCACCAGAGCAGGACCAGGACCTCTGAGGTCTTCTGAGGATGAGACATGAGTCTCCAAGAAGCAATCAATAAATGCATAAAAAGTGGAATAACAAATCGATGTTTCTCTCTCCTCTCTCTCTCTCTTACACTTACCTTTTCTCTCTCAAATCTAAATAAAAAATAAGAAAAAGATATTGAATCTCCGTAAGTAAAATGATATCTTGTTCTAAGCTGTTAAAAAAACTGTAAGAATATAAGAGAAAACCCACTACAAATGATGTCTATCATAAAGAAAGTTATACCATTTTCATGGAAGGGAGGATTCTGTGAATTCTAATCGTATTTCTTTTAATAACTTCATAAATTACACAAAATAAAATGAAGCCACTTTATATGCATTTCTATGAACTTGAACAAATGGGATTGATCCATAATCAAAATGTAGAGCATTCCCACTACCACCGAGACTTTCCCCAAAAGTAGTTCATCCCTGCCACCTCCAGCCCCCGATTCACCTTCAATCATGGTGAACTAATTCTGTCTATAGGAGAATTCCTATAAAGCACTGATTTGTATCTATATTCTCTCATAATAATATTTGTGAAATTGATCCAAGTTCTATGTATGTGTTCTTTGTAATGTATTCTTACTAAGTGGTATTCCATTGTATCTCATCCTGGTTTTAACCTGTAATTTCCTAATAACAAGTGATGTTAAGCTTGTTTTCATGTGGGTAGCTACCATTATTTTTCTTATTACATGAAATGGCAGATTAATTCTGTGACCTTTTTTTCCTTAAAACTGTGGTAACACAAACTTAACAAAAACATTTATAATTGTCTGGGTCAGTGGCATTAAGGACATTCACATTGTTATGGGACCATGACCACCATCCATTTCTAGATCTTTTGTCATTTTTCCCAACTGACTCTCTGTGCCCATGAAAATTACAGCTTTTCATCCCCCCAGGTGCTGGCAACTGCCATTCTACATCCCATGTCTCTGAAATTGCTAGTCTAAGTACTTACTTCATGGAAGTGGTATCAGATAGCATGTGTCATTTTGTGATTGACTTGCTACTCTTAGCATAGTATCTTCAACCCACATTGTAGTATGAGTCAGAATTCCCTTCTTTTTTTGAGGATGAATAACATTCCCATGTATGTGTACACCACATTGAGTTTGTCTGTTTCTTGGTCGATGGGTTCTTTGGCTATTTTCACTTAATGGTGAATAATGCTACTATGAATAGAAATGTATACATATCCACTAAAGTTCCTGCTTTCAATCCTTTGCATAAATATCCAGAAATGAAATTACGGGTTCTTATGGTAATTCTATTTTTAATGTTTTGAGGAATTGCCATACTGTGTTTAAAAGCATATGCAAAGCCTTGGAATGTAGAAGTTTCATTTTCTCCATATCTTCTCCAAGTCTCGTTATTTTCTGTTTTTATTTTATTTGATTGATTTCAGAGAGGAAATGAGAGGGAGAGAGAGAGAGAGAGAAACAATCATGAGAAAGAAACATCATCACTGGGCTGCCTTCTGCATGCCCTCTAATGGGGATGGAGCCCACAACCCTGGCATGTGTCCTGACCTGGAATCAAACCAGAGACCTTTTGGTTCCTGGGTTGACACTCAACCACTGATCCACAGCAACAGGCTCCTTTAGCTCTCTTTGAAGTAACTTTCACAGAACAGCAAGGCCCTGCTCCCTAAAATATGGGTCACTCACGAGGTGACCCACTAATGTATCGGGACATGGAAGAGCAGAGCAAACAAGGTCTGGAGACATTCCAGGATTGAAAAGGTCACATGGACAGTGCAGAGGGCTGAATGGTGGCCACCTAGAGACACCCAGGTCTTAATCCCTGGTACCCCAATATGTTCCCATGTAAGGGAAAGGGGGCTTTGCTGATGGGATTAAGGTAAGGATTTTCACATGAAGAACATCCTAGATTATTAGGGTTGATCCCTGAATGCAGTCATAAGAGTCCCCAAGATAGACATAGCAGGTTAGTTTCTACACACAGAGCAGGATGAGGCCATGTGACCAGGAGATAGGTCTCAGTGATGCAACCAAGGACAGCTGGCACCCCATCACCCGGAGAAGAAAGAGATGGGTTCTCTCCTAGAGCCTCTGGAGGGAGTGAATCCCAACCAAAAACCGGATTTCTACACAATGGAACCCATTACACACGATGGGGTGTAGGACGTTTCCCCAAGATGTGGCACCCTATCTTTCTTTGTATCTGAGGTCTCCACCAACAACTTAGAAGGGCAGAGGGAGAAGATATTTTTACTCCCTACATGTATTTCTGGTCTCAAGAACTAAGAGATTAAATTTCCATTTTTTAAAGACACAGAGTGTGTGGGAATTTGTCAAATGGCCCCAGGAAACCAATACAGGCGGGAATTCATGGAACACCTCTGGGAGGACCCAGAGGAGGGGGCGAGAAGAGAAC